TTCAATTGTGTTCTTTGTACGATTAGTTAGGCTTCTCTATTAATTCTGAGGAAGAAGATCATCTACAACCTCACGGTCTGAGAGAAACAAAAATCTGAAACGGATTAATAATCAATGTTATTTAAAGACTTTCATGCGTTTCAATTTTTATTAGTTTGATTGTGAGTTTAGAATGAGGTAATTCAGCATCTAGGTTTAGCAAGACCGGAATGGCTAAGTGATTGAGTTAACCAAAATTTGAGCAGCAAGTTTGCCGAAAGCGGCTCGCCTGGCGGTTAAGAATCGGCGACAGACCAAAATGGGCTAATGGAAGCAGAACATATATATTATATTATATTATGTTATATTATATAATATAATATTATATTATATTATACTGAATAATTAATTCCGCAGGATGTTCTACCCAAATGTGCCAAAATTTTTATTGCGTCACTTCAATAATCTTGCAGTACAAGGAGGGGGAAACTTCTTCGGAGGCCACAAGAAAACTTTATTGTTAACCGATGGCCGCAACTACGCATTAAGTGTATTTAAATTACCTTTCAGGATTAAAAAAATGATAATGACAGAAACTTTTATTTCACATTCACAATATATTAAAAAATTAAGTTGCAACAAATTCCTAATTATGTAATCGGATTTCACAATCAGTAATATAATATATTCATTCTAACAAAACTTTATCAAGATCAGTCATAATGGTAAAGATCGAGAATAAAATCGACCTAATATCGCTCGATATCAAACAAATAATCGAAAGAAAAATAACTAAAAAAACTCTCTAAAAAAACACAATTAAACATCACATCATTTACAATTGAAGACGGAGTTAATAACTCCTTCTTGAAAATTCTTTATACTATCATTATTTTTCTGCATGGACAACTTGAAGAGGATTTGACGGAGATTCTAATGAATCCCCTTCAAAGGCGACGGATTTCAAATATTTTCTGAACAATTTATCTTCAGAGAGGCCGCAATGATATAGAAAAATTAGAAAATATCATACTTCTGAATTTATTATGCTGAATTTTCAAAATTTAACACGAAATATTGAGTTCTGAAACTCCGGGTTATAAAAATCTGTCATACTATAATAATTTAGTAAAAAAATCAATTGAAGCTTGAATGTTCTTAAAGCGTTACACGCATCAGTATATTATCCAGTTGTGCGAGTTAAGAATTTTTACAAAATACTGAAAATTTTATTATCAGTGAGTCGTAGTATCGTCACAATAAATTGCAATTGTGAATACAAATCGCAAATATTCGTCAAAGCTACATTCTGTGATTATTTGGCTGTGTCATTGTCTCTCGAGCTCCGGCATTTGTTCGCGTATCACGATCAATCTAAGTTATCGTCAGCCCCTAAATATTGGCTTACAATTTGTGAAGAATCCTACAACATTTTGCCGTCTCGGTGCAAGATAACTACTCTGCTGAGTTTGTTTTAAAACGTTGGAATATTTTCACAGCCAACATGAGCCAGTCGTCTTTTTGAACTGAACAAGCGAGACAAATCACGCACGTCTGAGACACTTGTGTATCGACGATGACTCACAACAATTAAGGTTCTCTCGAAAATTGTACCTACAACACAATTGAACAAATTATACGAAAATTGTACCTATAACACAATTGAACAAATTGTACGAAAATTGTACCTACAACACAATCGAACAAATTATACGAAAATTGTACCTATAACACAATTGAGCAAATTGTACGAAAATTGTACCTACAACACAATTGAACAAATTATACGAAAATTGTACCTACAACACAATTGAACAAATTGTACGAAAATTGTACCTACAACACAATTGAACAAATTGTACGAAAATTGTACCTACTTCATAATTGAACAAATTGTACGAAAATTATACCTACTACACAATTGAACAAATTGTACTAAAATTGTACCTACTACACACACAACTGTACAAATTGTATAAAAATCGGATCTACTACACAATTTTATAAATTGTACGAAAATTGTACCTACTACATAGTTGTACAAATTGAACGAAAATTGTACCTACTACACAGTTGTACAAATTGAACGAAAATTGTGCCTACTACACGATTGTAAAAATCGTGCGAAAAATGTACCAAGCATTGCGTCAAACTATTTGGAAGAATTATAGGGCAACATGGGGCTGCGCGCCCCCCACTTTTTTAAACTAAATTTTTGATGAAGATTTAATTGATACGAGGTGGTTCTTTGTTTTGTTTAAAGGTACAACTAATAAGGGATGTATGATGTGAATTAGACGCCTATAGAGTTATTAAATTTTTAATGAAACACTATTTTGTAAAAAGGTCAAAATGGGCCCATTGCACCACCCCTGGGGCAATTGGCCCATGGGCTTGGGGAAGGGGCCCACCCTTGGACCCTATACCACAATTGCATATTTTTCGTTTAAATATGATAAAACAACACTTTACAGTTACAAATAAGAAAAATGTAATAAAAAATATGACATTCAATCATTTACTAATAACTCAAAAAATCATATCCTTAACTTGAAAAAATATACTCTTGGCTTTAGAAATCTATCACTGACGTGTAGAAAAATATTTCATTGACATAAAAATATATTTCCTTGACTTGAAAAAATATATCCTTGCGATAAAAAATTTGTCCTTGACATGAAAAAATGTATCCTTACTAGAAAAAATATATTTGGTTAATCAGAAAAAAACTTCGTTCCAGTTTCGTCCATAATCCAGATATTATGTGCAGAGAATTCGTACCTAATCGTGATTTTAGCCAACTCCATATAAACTCATCAACTTTTAGCTCATTGGTGTTGACTGAAATCAACTTTTGGCAAGGCAAGAGTCAATAACTCGATAAGGGGTCATAAATACGCATAACTAGAAACTAAACCTGCTGCCTTGAGTCGGTAAATCAAAAAATCGTTCAATATGAAGTGTAATTTGTTATTTCAAAAAGTTAGTCATAGTTTTGGAAAGGTCATTGAGACAAATCTAATGATGTATAACACAAGACTTCACCATGGGCGCTTTGCCCCGTGACACGCGTGGGCCCGCGTGCCCTACTAGGTATCATTTCAATTTATATCGTGTCAAAATTTTATTTTAAAAGCTATTAGTCTAAACTTGATCTCAAAATTATCCCTATAAATATTACTTTCAAAATATAATTCAGAGTAATTTCAAAAGCTTCATGTTAAGTAATCAAAACCGTTTTATTTAGCAGCAAAAAAATTTTATCTGGGCTAAAACAGTTTTTCACAAATAACTTAATAACGCAAACCCTTAGCAAAACGTAAATCCGTACACTTCATCCCAGTGAAACTGTCGACCGGCGGTAGAGAACACGGACCAATATCTGCCATACTTAGCGAGAAACCCGCTATGGGCCCATGACCCGCAATGGGCTCGCTGCCCCATATACAGTATGTTACCCTACTTCTGGAAAATTAGTTATTATACTTTACAGCACGCATGTAATAGATTTAAGAACGACTCCTTATGGAAACATTCGCAGGAATAAGTATGCAAAATGCAAATTATTTCGCTAATAATCTAAAAGAAATGCTTAAATGGATTCGTAACATTCACTTTTGACTTAATTAGGTCATCCTGAAAAATAATGTTCACGTCATTTCATTAAACACAATAGATGAAACAATAAATGAAGGTATAAAAGTATTTCACCAAAAAAATAATGGAATCACTTCTGTAATATCTGAATGAATAATTTATCCTCATTTAAGTTCATGAGTTATTTTACATGCAGAATGTTATGCAAACTATCCAAATCATACTAAATTGTTACACTATTACATGGAGCCATCGCTTATCTACATGTTTAGAAATATTTACGAAACTTAGTATCCTATATAATATGAAAGAATTTAAACATTAAATAAATATATTATTGATGTGTGACCAAGATGAAATCACATTTGCGGAGTATCTAAACAGAAATTTCTGTGAAATTGGCCATTAAAGATTAATGGGAGTAATTTGTATTGTGGGGTATTTTCGATTAAGAAAAATAAAATTTAGCAGCAGCAGCAGTTTTAATAAATTTGAGGCAGATATTTTCAAAATAATTTGGGATGCGACGCATCGAAAATTAAGTCAAAAATTATTTCAGTTTTTCTATAATAATTTTGACCGAAAAAAATATATCTTCCAATAAAACTCAAGACATTATTATATGCTTGAATTAGAATATAACATTTTTGTGGAAGCTAATTTTTTATGTTTTACTGAATTTCTTAAGGATTTTTGTTTACCGTACATTTAATTGATTTTATTGTTCATCTCAAATTAAAATCTTATGACCAAAAAGCACAGAGCACACACCGATTGAAATACCTGATTTAGCTAAAATTTAATTAAATCCGTAAATTAGCGGGAGATTTTGTTTATTTTTATAAAATAAGCGGAATTTTTGAGAATTTATTCCTTAAGTAATTCCCTTCGTCACCCAGAAGAAACTAATGGTTTCTATAATTAATGTTATAATAGGTATAATAATAATTATATCAATAATAATACATAAAATTATTTCGTAAGTAATTCCCTTCGTCACCCAGAAGAAACTAATGGTTTCTATAATTAATGTTATAATATTTATATTAATAATTATATCAATAATAATACATAATAATAATATAAATTTACAAATTGGTCGAATAAATAAAATTAATGTAAAAATTTTCATATAACGTCTCCGATGATAAAATCTTATAATCTAATATACTTTTGTATTAATCCAGCAACCACTTCATCAACGCTAATAGCCTCATTCCTAAGCACCTACAGGCTTACCGCTCATTTTTCCTCACTATTTAATTTCCCTTTAGTAATTCGCCCTCCCCATCATCGTGACTCATCTCATATTTTTCCCCCCACATTTCTCTCCCACATCCTCTTCTCTTAGTCCGCCCTGCAGTCCCCTTCCATTTCCCTTCCTACCCTCAAATAACGTATATATGGAGGACAGGCGGCGAGCTAGCCCTCAGAACAAGACTTCTATCTGCCAGTCAAGGTGCGGTGTAAGATACGCTTTCGTTTGTTCATTTCTCTGCGCAGTAAGACTGCATATTGTGTGAATCAATAAACTCATATTTTCAATTCAATCTTTTGATTCAATATACACATATTTTCAATCCAATCGTGTGATTAAATAAATTCAAGAAATGTCATCTAACAAAATTTCGAAATAAAAATTATGGCAGTAAATTATAATTAAATTCTACTAGGAATGTCGGAAGCGTTTGATGATCAGTTCATGTGTCTTATAAATTTAGAGAACCTTATACCAGAATGAGACTTTTACGCTTGAATACGAACGTGTGTATGTTTGACTTAATAATTTGAAAGCGAAGAAAATGATAAAATTTAAAACAATACAGACATAATAGTATAGTATATATAGTATAGTATCTTCGGCATTAAAGAATAGGCCTGGATAGGCCTGTCGCCGATTCTTGTACTTTTCTTGACTATACTAGCCTTTTGATCAGATCTTTTCAACGGACGGTAGATTAAAAATCGCTTCTAGATATCAGTTGTTCCGTAGGGTACGAGGCATTTTAAGACTAAACATATGCTCATGCATGGCCTTGTCTAGTCTGTTCTTGAACGCGTTCATACTCGGAGCGTCAACAATATCTTCAGGGAGGCTGTTCCACATGTCAGTGACTCGAAGCGAGAAGAAATGTTGTCGCGTGGATAAGTTGAACCGCAGTTTTTTTAGTTTATAGCCTGTCTCTTATACACATCTAGATGTGTATAAGAGACAGGTTCATCCACTGTGTTTTTCTGACTCCACCGAGCTTTATCTTAGGTACACACGCATCAACTGCAGACATAACTATGTTCTTGATGAATGACCAAGACTCCGCCACATTCATGTTCGTGATACAGTACGAAATGTTCGCTGCACTCACTGATTCACGAAGTTTAACATAGTCGCCTTTCGCAAAGTTGAGACGTTCACGCTTCCGAGGCGTCTTTTCTGTATAGCACTTTTTAAAGAAAGCTCACACCACACTGATTCTCTAGCTGACTGGTGCTCTGCTGATAACTTCACTTGTTGGGCCCCATAAAAGGTTCTAACCCACAGAGCTACACCTCTACTACACTGCTCTTCGTTTAAATTATGAAAGCAATCAAAACCTGGCAACTGAAATTCGGTCAGGCTCTGGAGCGACTATACCGCACGACTGATCTCCACCGCGTCTCAATCTGAACTGAATAAAATGTACGACTAATTAATTGGAAATTATTCATAACATTTGGTCGGTTGATTGATTACTCGTATTCTTGATTTTTTGAACTGATGACGGAACTGGTCTGAATAATATTATCGATAAAAAATATTTTGTATAATTCTAAATTAACTCTAAACGCAGTTTGGCACGCTTTTCCAGTAAATCGAGGAAATTTTCTTTTCGTCCCTTGTTGCTTGTACACTATACAGGCTTCCATTGTAGATGTTACAGAAGAAATATTACGACTTTTGACATGTTTTCATTCATAACAGATACTCGGATGGCGTTCAAAATGGCAAGAGGGAAGGCCTATCAATCGCTCCTGGCGCTGTGCTTATGCTACGCCGTTGTGGAGACCATCTCCGCGCCAATGGTACAGTCTATTTATTCTAACCTTTCGGAAATATATTTTTTTTTCTCAAGGAAAATGAAGCCATTTTTTAATTATTTTTGAAACAGCTAGAAAAGAACTGTTTTTAAGGTACACAATCCTTCAATTTTAGGCGTTCATCTACACCAGTGGTTCCCAAAGTGGGCGATGTCGCCTCCCTAGGGGCGGTGGAAAGAATTTGGGGGGCGGTAAGGAAGAAGAGGGCGATAGGGGGCGGTAAGGAAGAATAGGGCGATAGGGGGCGGTAGGGGGGTGACAGTCCGAATTCGAAGTCAAAAGTTCGAACTATTGTTTGACGATTTGTACACAACACGTGCAGCACATGACTCCCAGTTATGATTTTTTGGCCCAGATCCGTTTTTTAACCTCTCCTGGGCTTAGGTCTCGGACAAACTAACGGCCGGACTCGCGGCCGGTCTCACGGCCAATTTTCAAATTCGACGATCAAGGAATATCTCTCAAACTAATGAACGTAAGTCGATGAAACTTGGTACACGTATAAATTAGGAAATAACGGTAATGTTTAGCTCGTGTAAATTTTTTTTTACTTTTGCCTTCATATGTGAGTTATATGGCAATACGGGCCGAAATTCACAGTGATCAAGGAATTTCTTCCAAACTACTGAACAGATTCGAAAGAAATTTTAAATTTGCAGTCCTAACTACCGAACGGCAACGTTTAACTCGTGAACATTTTTTTCAATTTTGCCCTGGTTCGCGAGTTTTTTTTTCATTTCTCCTTCTTTCGTGATTTAAACAGCAATACGTGCTTAAATTAGCAGTAATCAAGAAATTTCTTCCAAACTACTGAACATATTTGAACGCAACTTAGTATTTGAATACCTAACCTCAGCAACGGTGATGTTTAGCTCGTTACAATTCTTTTCTATTTTTCCTTCGTTTGCGAGTTATACGGCTATACGTGAACGGCTCTCGGTAGAAAGCCGGTCGTTTCTCCTATATCTGAATAACTCGATAACGAAAGTGAAATATAAAAAATTTCACGAGCTAAACATCACTGTTGGGAGGTTAGGTATTTATATATAAAGTTTTGTTGAAATCTGTTCAGTAGTTTAGAAGAAATTTCTTGATCGCCGTTAATTTAAGCGACAAATTACCCGGCGATACGGGCCTACTACAAGGAGTTGTGAAATCAAGAATGACGGTGAAATGAAAAAAAAAATCGCAAACGAAGGCAAAATCGAAACAAATTTTACAAGTTGAACAGAAAACAAAATCACCGTTTGGTAGTTAGGAGTGTACATTCAAAATTTCGTTCAAATCTGTTCAGTAGTTAGGAAGAAATTCTTTGATCACTGCGAATTTCGGCCTGCGCAATATAACTCACGAGTGAAGGTGCAATTTAAACATTTGCACGAGCTAAACATCACCTTTTGGTTCTGATGAATACATGTTCCAAGTTTCATTGAGCTGCGTTCATTAGTTTGAGAGATATTCCTTGATCATTGAATTTGGAGATTTACCGTGAGACCGGCCACGAGTCCAGCCGCAAATTTGCCCGAGACGTCCTAGGTTTCTAGTGCAGGAACAGTTAAATCAGCTGAAAAACATATTGGTTTACTAAATGGGGTTCTATATGTGAAATACATATTTGTGTTTAACCTTTCTCTTTTAAAATGCAGCGTATTAAATTTCAAGAAATAGGCGTATGTTTTCATATGTGTCTGTTGAGGGCGCTAGAAATTCACTAGGGAGCCAAAAGGGGCGCCAGCCTGAAAAAGTTTGGGAACCACTGATCTGCACAGACGTAAGATTCTGATGTTCTGTTCGATTAATGGTTGTGAAAATGGATGGTGCCCGGGCAACCATAATGCTTGTAAAAATAAATTTTTGTTGAATATATAGAGTCTATGGTTGATGATATTTGATGCTTCAGTTCTCTTTGTTTAAAACTTTTTGTTACATCTGTACATCGTCATCTGTACATCGTGCAGGTCAAGTAATAAATACTAGTGAGAACGCGTAACATAAATGTTAGTTTTCAAGACGATGTCCTTCGATTTAAGTCACCATCTTTCAATAAATGCGATTTATCTTAGACACAGAATACAAAAGGGACTTTTTTTAAGGGGATCGGCTACCCTAAAATTTGAAAAATTTTGAGTTTTTCTGTTTCTTATCTCATCTTAAAGGTTGTTTTCTTGCGCATCGAACGGTATAAGTATCGTCCCTGTACGTCGAAAAATGACTTTTTGACAGCTCCTCAAAGGAAGGCGGGTTTTAGGTCCCTTAACAAAACTCTACGAGGATAAATGACGCGCTGGTCACTCCACAAAGGAAGGCCTGGCATTAAGCAGCCAATCATGGCACTAAAGTGGGCATAGTCTTGTTTGAAAGAGCACTTTCTTACGCATCGATTGGTGGTACACCCATCTTTGTACCTCCATTTTCTACTGCACCACGCCCCATAGAACGGGGGTGGCCTATCGACTCTAACATCACTTTTTTGAATTTCGGTCTGGTTCGTTTTTTATATGGGGGAGAAGGGGGGGGAGGGGTGAAAAATGAGAAAAAAATGGGAAAAATGAAGAAAAAACGCAATAAAAAAACTAGATGGAAAATGAAAAAAGTGATGTTAGAGTCAATAGATATGGGGCCATACTTTCAAAACTCGCTAAGTGAACGTAAGTACTTACGCTCTATTTTCTTGTCTATGATTGGTGGATTTTGCTTGAAAGGCCATCAATGATTGGCTGATGAACATACGATCTCCAAACTTTTTTTGAAAGTATAGACCCAGGTCTTTACGAATCGATTGATACGTGTCTCGATGTTGTAGGATGTTATTTGTGGGAGGAGATAGATTTTCTAAAGTACCCCTTTTTAGCCGTTTTCTATGAATTTCACGTTTTCTATCAATTTTTCCGAAAAATTCATATGAGCAAAATGTTTTTTTCTTTTTACATTTTACGTATGTATGTGAAGTTTCATGACAATCGGATAATAACTGTAGAAGTTTTCCGTAGGGGTAGCCGATCCCCTTGAGATTAAAAAACAACTTTTTTAATCATTCAATCGCGAGAAAAAATTCTCATTTGTATGAAATCGCTTGAATGTTTAGCGGCGAATTTAGAGCGTGAAACTTGTGTAATATTTATTTTATAGTGCCATAAACTGCAATAGACTGTGAAGCCTGCGTATATTAAGAATTATGAGTAAAGAGCGTGTACAAATAATTCTATATATTCATTGGATTTTCTTTCTCAAATCCAGCCGTAAATAAGTTGTTTACAATAAAATACCCTTAGTTTTGAAGTTTTCTTACTTGTTTAGATGTTTGAACGGTCTGCTAACATCGCATCAGTACCTACTAACCAGTAAATTAAATGTCTGATACCACAAGGGCGTGCCTAACCGAGCGGACGGGTCTGTGTTGGTCGGCGACATGCTCTACTCCGCGGCACAGTGGCAAAGTTTGCTCGCTAGGAACTTGAAGTCTAAAGAAGTGCTTTGGCCGAAAACGAACGGAGTTGTCAAACTTCCATACAAGATAGCAGATCGTGAGTGTATACATGTTGAATACGTTGTGATAAATAGTTACTGTGGCAATAGAAATCGTTAACACATCTTATTATTTTATTCGATTCAACTTAGAAAATCAACGTTAGCTTCATTTAATAGTGATTCTCTTTCGTGAAATAATTTTAACTAACCACTCGTTTATTTGTGCCAAAAAATTAAGATAAACAAATTGAGATATTCTAATATATGTATATTGCGAGTAAGTTATCCTCATATAACATTACATGCTAGGGTTGATATCAGCGGCTTCTCAGATATCTGAGACAACATTTGAAAAAAAATTGTCCTTCAAATTAGTTTTGTCCATCGAACAAACTTTAATTTGCTTTATCCTGTTACTACAAAATCATACGAGTTATTCTCCCTACAAACGTTCGACTGACAATCGTGTATTAGTGACAAAGTTAGACACTCCACAGTCAAAAATGTTACTACTTCCTTATTCAACGAACCCAATAAAACAAACTCCCTTTCCTGAATTTAATAGCGAAGATAAACGCGACTCTGGTGAAGCTGGGCATCAGCGCCTGGGAGTCTAAGACGTGCTTAGAGTTCCCCGAGTTGTCTGCGGCTGACACCACGGCTGAGTACCTCAATTTGATGATAGAGGAGAGCTGCTGGTCCAGCGTGGGCTACACGCAAGGCGAGATCACGGATATCAGCATCGCAGGCTCTGCATGTAATGTGCGTCCCACATAGAAGGGTTTATTCAAATTTTGTTCTAGGTTATAAGAAATAATTTTGTACAGAGCTTGTAACTTTTTTCGCTTTGCTTTTTCACAATATATAATTATTAGCTTCTACGCTCTTCTTATGGGTTAAATGGTTTCAGATATTTATTGACACCAATAATTATATTCAAGGTATATTATATATTCGATATTAAAACGTAATTAGCATCGCATGTTTATGTAAAAAATACGAATAAACATCATTGTAGGAAAATATCGCTTCAGAAAGTACTTACTTGTATCGTTGATTTTCATGATAAACACTGTCTTTTACTACAAATGCAATTTGTGTATAATTTTTGATTTAACAGGTTATTTGAGTTCCTCATTTGACCTAATAAACTGCAGTAATTTTTGTACATGTAGTTTGATATCGCATAACGATATTTTGAAAATTTCGGATTTTTTGTAATATAAATGGACGCCTATGTACAACAAATTTTGTGTATGACCAAGGACGCCTATTTTCCTATGAATATTTCACAACTTCTCACGAGTCAGTGGTTGCCAGATGATATACAGTAGATTATGTTGACATAATTTGTTGCTTATGCAAGAACGCATAATAGACAGGAGCCTTCCAGAACTCCGATTACAAAACAGTGTCTTATTTGCATTTCATCCTCCTGTTAGTACCTCATTAACGCATGGTACCCGATTAACAGCTCAGGGGAATCATCCACGAGCTTGGACACGCGATGGGGCTGCTACACGAACAGTCCCGCAGTGACAGGTTAGTGTTGGAATTGCCGAGCAAGGAATGAAATTATGTAGTCTACACTGAGTTGGTCTTTGGTGTAGTTAATGTTGCTTACGCTGAGTTGGTCTTTGGTGTAGCTAATGTAGTTTACGCTGAGATTTGTTTTGTGCCGTGGTAGCTGAACGCCGTAGTGATGTGAATTTGAATAGCTTTATGTATCTTTTGCGGTTTACACATAGGCTTTGAGCTACTGTGAGTTTTTTTTTTCGTGGAAATGCTAGTTTTGCGGAAACGTTGATATTGCGCAGACAAACATGTTAAGTGCTTAAATCTATAGCGTTGTATGTTCACAATCAACGCTATAGCATGCTTAAGAAAAGCATAGTAACACTGAATCTGGCTTAACCTTCCCGACCTAAAATCTTATGGCCTAATCTACTCAGTACTCACGTTGCAACATTTCCCCACTCAAAACAAGCCCGAGCCGAATTTAACGTAACCACATTGGCTGCAGAAAGTTAGAGAGGCGGAGCTAGTGAGCAGTTGGAGCCAATCAATAGTTGCTAGAAGGTTGTAAATAGCGTGAATAGGTTAGGCCAGTAGAGGTTAGGCCGGAGTATAAGTGATTCGAGATGCATAACCGCTCTTAAGCCCTGCTTATGAGCGAGCACGTTCAAGTATCACCTGAAGATCATCGTGTCAAAATTTTGGGCAGCGTCTCAACGAACTAGATAACGGTTTTCCAGCGCAGTCTGCGTATTCCCAGCTCTGAAGCAATCAGAGGGTAGTATATAATTGCATGCTGGGCTGGACATTGGCTCAAGGCTTGTTAAGAGTTTAATTTGTAGCCCACGGCAGCGCCCCACCTGGATCGCTGCAAGAATTCAAGTTAAATTTTAGTCAGAAGCGTTTGTTTTAATCACTTTAAAGGCCCATCTTATAAAGAAAGAAAATTTTAATCGACAAAACTATTCCACAGATGAACGTGGAATGCACTTCTTGGCACTATAAATAAATAGAATTGTGTAGAAATTTCTATTTTGGTTCGATTATATTGGAAGGAAGTGCAGCAAGAGTTTTCGAAATTGATTGTGGACTTGTTTTCAGGGATGACAACATCATCGTGGTTACAGCTAACATTAGGCCTGGCGCAGAAGTTAATTTTAATAAGGATAATACCGTCAACTTCGGCCTCCCTTACGACTACTACTCCATCATGCAGTACCAAGATACTGTAAGACATCCAAAATTGGCTGCAGTGCCGAATGTTCTTGCCGAATAATCGTTGCTTCCAATTCGAATTTTTTTACATTTTAAGTTTTCCGTGCAGTGATTTTCAATTTATTATTCTGTTCTTCATATTAAATATATCTTCATATAAAAGGATATCTTCATATAAAGGATATCTTCATATAAAATATATGGATATGACGATATGTTCATAAGGATATGTTCATATAAAAGCAAAAATATTTTATTATTCATATCAATAATAAAATTGGATTTCAACGTGTTTAGCAGCTAAACGATCATTCTAACAGCAATTATCCCAATAAAATATTTCGTTACCTTGATGAAAAGGAAGATGCCATAGAATTTTTTATTGTTTTTAGGCACATTATTGACATAGTTCACTTGCAAAGCATAACTTCCAAAAGATGTCATAAAATTATTCAGTATTGTTTCCTGCATGAAATATAGGAAACGACAGTGAATTTTTTCGATGGAAGGTCGAATACCATTTAAATATATCTTTCTGATCCTTTGAAGCTCCAAATTAAGTATTTATTCTTTTTGCTTCGGAGTATAAGTTAATTTTGAATATTTGAGAATAATACATAAATATAATTCCCTGCTTCTACTTAGTTCACTCTATTTTTTGTATGTTAATGGATACATGTTATTTGCAGGAAACATATCCCATATATCAATACTCAAGAAACTGTTTTTTCAATATGCGGGATTTAAATTAATTTTCTATGGTTTTGACTTGCCCAGGCTGGTTCCCAGGGCCCTGAGCGCGTGATGCTCGCTAGAGACCCTCGGTTTCAAACAGTTATGGGCGCCATGGGCACAGGCAGTGAAATTACATTCATGAACATGAAGCTCGTGAACACCATGTACGGCTGCATAGGTGAGGCCTGTATACTGTACAGTGTATATTTTGTAGCGGTGATGTGTTCGACACATGATCTGTAACATAGTATTCTATATGAATCCATTCATGTTCCTATTCTGTACTAATATATGATCATATATTTCCATATTCTCTAATTATAAATAATGTTCCACTACAATATTTTCCTTTACATAGAGATTGATTTTCATCTTCATCACTAGAGCGAATAGACTATGCTAGGATTCTGAAAGTTTATTAGGTCAGGTGGAAAAACAACGCCAACATGGATTACTCGGGAATTGTAAAATGGAAATAAGTTGCACAACCGCTTTTCATATAGTGAGTAAAATTTTTCATGTGCAAAAAGGGAAAAGATATCTCTACTTATTCATGGACGGAATTAAGAAATTTCCAAAAGATGATGCTTTAATTTAGCCCATTTCCTCGACTTGTATTTCATCTTGAATTAAACAAGGAATCATATCGTCAATTTGCAAAGGTTGAGGTTCCTGCAAATTTAATAAATTAATTATGAAGTTCCTGCAATTTTATGATCCTAATCCTCTCATTTCAATTATTCCTACATAATTGAAAATATAAATACCCCTCAAAGCCAACATTTAAATAGAAGATATGACTTTCATTTTACTCTCGTTTCATAATATCGGAAAAATATTATGAAATTGAACATTTAATTTCATTCACGTACACTAATTGAAGAATCGAATTTAAATTTTGATCTGATCCTTTCCTGTAATCCTTTCCTATTCTTCCACTAAAAACTAATTTCATATTCTGGAAATATACCAAGTATTCTGGTTACGCGCCCCAGCGGCCAGGCTTCAACCACACACAAACCCACAAACTCTGAAGGATAGTAAAAGAAACTTCAGTAATAATACGGCGTGCTCTTAAGCAATTCAATTATTTATTATCTATGTGTGCCAGATGACTGGTTGGCGAAGTGCAAGCTGTCATCTGAACCCTGCATGAACGGCGGCTACACCAAGAAGAACTGCAAATGTGCTTGTCCGTTGGGCACTCTAACGGCGATGGCAGTGAAATTACCTTCATGAACTTGAAGCTCGTGAACACAATGTACGGCTGCATAGGTGAGGCCTGTATACTGTACAGTGTATATTTTGTAGCGGTGATGTGTTCGACACATGATCTGTAACATAGTATTCTATATGAATCCATTCATGTTCCTATTCTGTACTAATATATGATCATATATTTCCATATTCTCTAATTATAAATAATGTTCCACTACAATATTTTCCTTTACATAGAGATTGATTTTCATCTTCATCACTAGAGCGAATAGACTATGCTAGGATTCTGAAAGTTTATTAGGTCAGGTGGAAAAACAACGACAACATGGATTACTTGGAATTGTAAGCTGGAAAGAACTTGCACAACCGCTTTTCATTTAGTGAGTAAAATTTTTCATGTGCAAAAAGGGAAAAGATATCTGTACTTATTTATTTTCTATGTGTGCCTGATGACTGGTTGGCGAAGTGCAAGCTGTCATCTGAACCCTGCATGAACGGCGGCTACACCAAGAAGAACTGCAAATGTGCTTGTCCGTTGGGCACGACAGGCGCAAAATGTGAGAACTTCGTCATGAGCTACAACGGTGAGGCTCGAAGCAATTATTAGAAAACTATAGTCGCTTAATACCGAGCTTAAATTTTGAGAAAATGACCGAAAATTTTATTTCCGTAAATTGAATCCAACCGTTTCCCTGAAGAGAGGTCCAAACAAGATTTTTCTTCTATGACACATGCATTATCAAATGGCATGATTAGTGCATAATCAAAGGTCGAGAGAGTTTGTACGCGAATTTACAGGTGGACGTGCAGGTTAGTCTGCTCATGTGTTTAAACAACTGTTTTTATTAATCAAAGAAATGAGAACTCGCACTCCTTGTAATCTACACAGTTAGGTTGAATTGGTATTTATCATTCTCATCCTCATTCCGCTTTCATGTCCATGACAGCAGATTGTGTTGAATAAACAAGCAATTGAGCAAGTCACCATCACAACAAATTTCCCGTATTCTTAATAGGGTATCATTGTGAATGTAATATCCGGAAATCTTAGGCTTGAGATATTAAATGATCCCATGTTAGTTTTCCATTCAAACTCAGAGATGCCCATAAGCAGTGATTAAGCACTCGAATATTTACTCTAAAATCATTAACATAAGTTCACTTCACCGCAGACGCCCTGATCAAGCAGCTGACCCCACATAGCGCCAACATCACCAAGCCAGGAGAAGTCACCTCTCCTGGCTACCCCAAATCTCTCCGTCTGGGAGGTACGTTCAAAAAATGAATGCGAATTGAAATATTTATATATTTATTCTTCTATGCTGTTCGTTGATTGATGATATAATCATACCGACGCTGGTGTCAAATCCCAAATTCGTGAAGCCCAAATAGAACCTAAATTCATTAGTATGTTCGTTATTCGTTCTTAAAAAAAATCATTGCGTATGTTGAATTCGGGGATCTGCGTTTCTCGAAGCATTGGATTGACAATCATGGAAATTTAAATAAAAATATACATCAATATTGAAATAATTAATATCACAGGGTATAAATAAATATCGCTCCAAATATCGTAATTAAATATTCGATTTTGAAGGCTAAGATTTTTTAAACAATCTAGCGCGTATTATCATTCGTCACACTTAACGAAAATAGGCGTCACAATGGATGGACACGTCACAAAAGATTACTCAAAGTAATCTGTATTTCATCATAAGACACACCACTGTAATTATTGCATAAATGCACTTCCTGACATATTTGTACTCGTTTTCCAGCGATGCGAAGCACGCAGGTGATACGCGCTCCCAAGTGCCAAAGGGCCGTGGTCACGTTCACGGACTTCCAGCTCGAAGACGACTGCAACGACAACTCCTTGGAGATCCGCACTGACGTTTCCGTTGCGAATGGCCAATGGTACGGGAAATACAAGCAGTTTTTACTTGCAAATGCAATTGAATAATAAAATAAAAATACAAATTACTACAGAATACAAATTACTAAAAAATAATAAAATATATACAAATTACTAAAGGAGAAATAAGCCGACCAAAAATACTAAAATTTTTGCATCTGTGATTCCTTACTTTTATACATGTTTGTGTTTGAATAACTGCATTTTTTACTTCTCTGAGTCAATCACTGAACTAAAATAAGGTCACAAAAACGCCCTTCGCAAGTTTTCGAGCTTGAAGTGTAGCTATGACGGGAGTTTAATATAAACGAATATTCTAATGTGATAAACTGTTTAAATAAAATCCATTGCGACGAATCGTGACTCAACTGTTGTTGCTGAAATATGAAATGATTCTCGTTTCCACTTGATGCAGGTTCTGTGGTGAAGGAATAGCAAAGGGAACAGTTTTCAAGAGTGACAAGTCGGAGCTGATCTTCCACTACAAGAACAGAAACCCTAAAATGCCGGAAGCTGGATACAAGGCTACCTTCACCACCGAGGCCATTCCCAAATGCAGCTAGGTGCTAGGTACGCATTCTATGTAGTATGGTTCTATGCATAAAGATGATATATTGATTATTGTGCGGCGGATATTTGCATCCGTTTAATTTTATGACATGAATCTTTAGTTATTTCCAACACCGTTCGATTAAAATAATTGAAACAAACCTTTGAAAAATATTTTTCCGGTCTTAATTACCTTTGTAAAGACAATATCTGTCTCCAACACTGTAGCGGTAAACTTCTGAAATTTCCTTGTACATTGGGCGCTAAAAATAATCATTGAAATATTATTCGAGAAGTGCTTTCCTTTTATTAAATGAATATGCCCGACAAATTTTATGACCCATGCAGTGAGCGCCCGCCGTGGATTCTCAAAATAAATTTTAAGGAAAGTATTTTCCTGTTATATTCCTACATTATTGTCCAACGGGGCCAACGAAATTCAAATCTGCAATATCTATTTTCTTGGCCAATAGTCGTGCGTTAGCATTATAATGAATTATAATAACAAATTAAATAAAGCAGAATTAGACAAATGTTCCAATTAGTCAAAATTAATTCCAGCAACACTAATTTATATTATTTTTTTAAGTTGATGACGGTGCGTCTACTGACTGAAATCCATGAGAAGAGATGCCTATTGGGACGATGACTTGGATAATTACCGTAAATTGTGTGCAATAACTACAAGTTTTACCTCAAAAATATAATAATGAGTTGCAATTATTGACTGGACTTTCATTATCCTAGTTCAATCATGAAAAATGACATAATTGGCATAGTGGCAGTACATAAATATCTGAAATAACGAGGTACAGTTTTTAACTTCAATAATAAATAATTTTCTTATCCTATGCTAGAAAATTTCATGAAAACCTCGTAAATTTTTAATATTGAGTGCCTCGTTATGACTGACTAAGATTTTTACTATCAGTGTTATTATTACTATTATTATTGTTTATTATTATTAATAATATTATTACTTATACTATTATTGTTATTATTATTATTTTATTATTGTTATTACTATTTCTATTATTATTATTCTGCGAATCAGCTATCGTAACGACTGGTTCAATCGAACTTCGAGTGAACGTTTCACATAAGTCTATTAATAAATATACACGAGAAAGTATGAGAACGGAAATGATTAATCATTATCGAAAATTGATGTGATAATTGTGCTAAAAGCATAAATGATCAATCAAAGAGTCTATAAAACTACAACTCAAAACTTTGGAAATGAAAATATTTTTCTAAATTCTGCCTTACCTATGATGGTAAAAAAATAAAATTCACTCATGGTGAAATCATTGTTCGATTGAGACAACCTTCCAATTCTATGAGAGATTAATTATTCTATTAAAGTCTATCATTTATGTAAATTACTTTTAGAAAAAGAATGAGGATTATTTTAAAAAAATAACTAAAGATTTCTCCACGAGAGGAAAGACAATTTTAAAATAAACAGAAAAATCTTTTTGTATTTCCCCTCTTTAAGTTGGAGGGGAACTATGGTCGGGAGACCTAAGTGTAGAAGAAACATTGCTGCTACTAATGTTCCAATTGGAAACTTGATTGACTTTGAGTTCTTCTTTATTTATTGCATATCAACCCATCAGCCCTGAATAACAGTTATCGAACGGCTTGGATAATAGACATGTATTAAATCTTAAGTCATTGAATTATTTTCCGATAGTAATAGTCAAATTCATTCGGATTTTGTCAATGCACGATTAAGCGTTACGAAATGTAGAAATGAATATTTTTAAAATATTGCTTCTTCACCTACGAAGCACTATGATCTTGAAAAATTCAATTCAATATCGCTATAAATATACGAACATTTATTATAATTCTGTTGATCAGATGTTAGTATGGACAGGGCACCACAACTGTTGTTGCAGTCATTAATCAAGAAATCTATCTAGATTTATAAGACCAATGCAAAACCTTTAAATAATTTTCAATTTATTAATCCTAATTGAGTACCCGTTTTATCGGTATTAATAGTCATCCTGTGGATTACGTTGCTTGCGTTATGCCAGTTACCGAGTTCCAAGAACTGTGCGATGAAAACTACTAAGACCATAATAGCTTTCAGATTATCAAACAGATGCTCACCATTTAAATCTATGAAATATATGAAAACCTTAATCAACTGAGTGGCAAAGCTACTTACTGTAAAAATAAGTTGAAATTCTTCAGTAACATGAAATTTTTTGTATCCAGTAATGAATAATTAACCGCGTTTTTGCTTGCAATCAAACTTGCAAATTGTACTTTTACTTTATTTCCAAGCCTTAAGGAATCCTTAATTCGCTTGCTTTACATTAGATTGACTACGCTGCAAGCTTAATGTGATGGGACATTACGTCATATTGATTCAACGCTCAAACTGTTGGGAATGAATAACCAATCAATAAAATTAATTAGTAGAGCCATGAATAATTAACTTCCTTCTGGCTTCCAACGTTTCTAAAAAGCTGATTTGAAAGATTAATTTATTACTCAACTAAAATAATAACGTAAAGAAGATATCAAGATAACGAGGGTTATACTAATTGGCCGACTAATCTAGACACTGCGTCCCTACTCCCTATGCGCTCCACGTACAGCGCCTGAACTCGTTCCGAACACGAAATAAACTCGACTCAAATTCGTACGGTTCCCATAAGTGCCATCAAAGTCTTAGTTAAGACTTAAGATTAACATTTTTGACTCAATACTACGCCATGCATACATCGACAGGTTTGCGGTGTTTGTCGGAACATTAATTAACTGCCATATCAGTTAGTCAGACAAATTTTGCTAAATCTGCAATTAACTCAATTTAACTGGTAATTGTCTATGGCCCAATTAACAATAAAGGGCTAACTTGTCATTCTTCAACCTTTGTTATCGAAATGATTCGTATCGTAATAGAAAAACTTGTTTTGGCTTAAATAATTAAGACAAAACTCGTCTCGCCTCGTTGTCTCGTTTCATAGCTGTCTGTCTCATCCCGGTTCATAATTTACCGGGACACAAGTTTTAAAGTCCGGGACAGCAGTCTTGTCTCGGTTCATACGTTTATTCCGGGGCAAATTTTACCCTCTGTCCCGTTATTTTTTTCCCAAATTTTCTCGTCTCGTTTCGTCTGTCCCGGTTCATTTCGAGAAAATTATTTCGAGACGCAGGAGTCTAGCCTATTTTAAACCTAACCTCAGATGCGGTGAACGTAAAATTACGTAATTTAACGATGCCCGGAAGTCAGATTCGATCCGAGGCCTGGTGGTGCACGGCAGGTTCTATGCGAGGCCGGAGGAAGACAAAGCCGAGTGGTTCACGGCTGATTAGTGGATGTCCGGAGAGATCCACGTCGTTCGATTCAGGGCTTAATGGTGCAAAAAATCATGGTGCACGGCTGCGCTCCCGCCTGGGCCATCACTTAGATATAATTGGCTATTCGTCAAAACTGTATGATAGGTACAAAACACTATCAGCCTCCTGCTCGGTATGTGTTCGGGGAACTAGCGTGTCGATCAGCTTGTTCAATGCTGCCAGGAGCCCCATTCTCCTCGTCATACCTCGGAACTCACTTTATATGGCCTCATAAACGCCCGAAATTTTATATATGTTCAACTAGCTTCTATCTTGCGAAATCTTTATTTCATTCCTGGAAATCTGATAATTCGTTTCAATCCAATATATTTTTCCTTCCTTAGACCTATGCAAATACTTAGGAGCTGAAGAATTATAACTTCCGTAGTTCAAATTTTCGCGCAGGCCACTTTAAGCTCGCGTTGATCACGAACATGGTAAAGTTAAAATAGAGCGTAATTTAATCTGGGAATTGCATTGCCAGGCTAACGGTATGAACGGGAAAGATCAACTAACAGTAGAATAAATTGAGGCACTTCAATTGCATATAATTTTCCATTCGTTTTTTGTTGCCTCAAGACTTGTAGCGCAATAACTATTAAAAACCAAGCGCTTATAATTAAGGGTGCACATAGAATGGACGGTGGAGCTAAACGACAAATGCCTGCATTGACGGACATTATTTTATTTGTTTATATATACACAGAACGTTTGAATTGAGTAATAAACGTTCACTGGAACCGATTTTACACGGAGCATATGGAACGTGCATGCTGAGATTATCTACGGTAGCTGTTTTCACTCGAACCGAGGCGAGGCTATAAAACTGGCCTCCTCAGCCAGTCCGTACGGTGCTGCTCAAAATCCTCGTGCATGCAGATGGAATGCTACGCTATAGTCTTCGCCTGTACAGCAGACAATACGGCATGGCGCAGGCACCCGATGTAACTCAGTGCTACGTTATATAGTCTTCGCCTGTACAGCAGACAATACGGCATGGCGCAGGCACCCGATGTAACACAGTGCTACGCTATAGTCTTCGCCTGTACAGCAGACAATACGGAATGACGCAGGCACCCGATGTAACACATTATAGTGTCGAGTACTTCAGCTGATCGTCTCATCGTCGCAATAGTACCAAGTACTGCCATTGTCGCAATAGTACGAAGCTTCATACGTACCACGTACCCCCGCTGTGTAGTGGTCATGGTCCGCCACGAGTGAAAAAAATACCAAGAAATAAAATTAAAGTTTGCTGGGTCGTCTTGAATGCTCGAGAATTGGTGTTGATATAACAGAAGTTTCCTGGTCAAGATTGATATGATTTCAGTCAGCAGCACAAATACTCACCAGTTTGGATTATTAGTTCTTCTTCAACGGTGATGTATTGCCATAACTTTTGTACCGTGCCATATAAGAGGTTATGGTATAAATATTCAAGCGATCAATAGAAGAGATGAGATGGCCACAATCTTGGGTTTCAGCGCTGCTGCCATCGCTCATGAAGCGAGGCTGGCTGCTTCGTACAAGAGCATCGCCAACAGAGAAGCATCCATCAAGAGGCAGGGTCAGACAAAGGAATTTGTCTGCCGCCATCTTGATGCCGCCATCGGCTGCCCCCGAGATAATTTTCTCTCCGCCCCTCCATGCGGCGGCGGATTTTCATCTTGCGCTCCCAATCGGATATTCTGCGGCGATATTTTTTTAATTTCGTTGAATATTATTTTCCAAGATCAAAAGAAATCAATAAAAACGTCTTATCTATTTCCAAAAAGAAAGTTGAATAAACAAACTTTTTCCCCATCACCAATTGCTGCCCATCCCGCCCCTCCGACTCACCTCACTGCTGAGCCCGTTGAGCAGGAACAGCAAGAACTCCAGGCAGTCGGACTGCCGCCCCGACTCGAAGGCCCCCGACATGAACAGCACGTCGGCTACGGCATCGGCGGCCACCGCTGCCACGCCCGTCTTGAGGCCACCGCTGCCACGCCCGTCTTGAGGCCACCGCTGCCACGCCCGTCTTGAGGCCACCGCTGCGACGCCCGTCTTGAGGCCACCGCTGCCACGCTCGTCTTGAGGCCACCGCTGCCACGCCCGTCTTGAGGCCACCGCTGTCGTCTTTAGGCCATCGCTGCCACGCCCGTCTTGAGGCCACCGCTGCCACGCGCGTCTTGAGGCCACCGCTGCCACGCTCTTCTTGAGGCCACCGCGGCTATTCTTCAAGAACTGCCGACTGTCGGGGCCACAATTGGAGTTCGTCGGCTAAGGGCATAGGAACACTAGCTTTGTTCTCAACGATCTTTGGTGAACACTTGTGAAGTTTACTAAATTAGACTTAGAAATTAATGTTGCGTA